GTGTGAAAACGGAGGAACGCACTGCGATTTGTTGAGTATTGGAGAACTACTCGTGGCTATTTTGATGTTAGCCCCTGCATATCCTTGATCAAAGATCTCAATACAATTTTTCAAGTTAACAAGTTAACTTGGCCCTTGGCGAGACATTCAATGGTTTCTAAATCTCAGGTGAGTGTACCATTCTAGTGCCAGTGAGAGTAATTAAGAATCTTATGTAGTAGAATATTGTTCAATATAGTGTGCATTGAAGATTCAGTAACTGTGTTCTTAATTCGCTTTAACTGTTTTGCATTAATCACTTGATTGGGATTCCGCACCAATTATAGTGACTTTGATTGATACTTAAGATCGGGTTTTACAAAGGCATATAGGTTTTATGTAATAGAACCTAATGATTCGGTTTCAATTAACACTGTTATCGAATCATGGGATGCAATTTTTGATGAGATGCGTTTTTCATCAATTCAAATGCCTAAGAATCTGACTTTTGGTACTAATAAAGTGCAAAATTCAGAAAGTCAATATGGTGGTAATGTACAAGAACCACAAGAGCTTCGTAGAAGCAAAAGAGGCCAAATTGTGAAAATTTTTGGATACGACTTCCAACTATATTTGGTGGCAGGTTCAAGGGATGAAATTAATATTGAATACTCTTATTGCTATAGTATTGAAGATGATCCTAAGACATATCAAGAAGCCATGGAGTCTTGTGATAGTGCCTTTTGGAAGGAAAAAATTGATGATGAAATGTCATCAATTATTGAGAACAACACATGGGTGTTGTCTGATTTGCCTCCAGGTTCTAAACCACTTGGTTGCAAATGGATTTTTCAAAAATAAAATGAATGTTAATGGGACTATTGATAAATTCGAATGCCCGGTTAGTCATTCAAGGTTTTAGACAAAAACCCGATGTCGACTATTTTGATACGTATGCTCTGGTTGTACGTATTTCTACTATTAGATTGTTGATTGCCTTGGCAAGTATCCATAATCTGGTTATTCACCAAATGGATGTGAAAACAACCTTTTTAAATGGTGATCTTGATGAGGAAGTTTACATGAAACAACCAGAAGGTTTCATTATGCCTGGTAAAGAGCATATGGTTTGTAAACTTGTCAAATCTTTGTATGGGCTGAAACAAGTGCCTAAACAATGGCATCAAAAATTTGATGAGATTATTTTGTCTTCTGGTTTCAAGACAAACCAATGTGACAAATGTGTTTATAGTAGATTTGATGATGCTACTAGAGCTGGAGTAATCATTTGCTTATATGTAGATGACATGTTAATCTTTGGTACTGACCAAAATCAAGTAGATGAAACAAAGAAATTGTTATCATCCAAGTTTTCCATGAAAGATTTAGGAGAGGCTGATCTAATTCTTGGAATAGGAGTTAAAAGGATGAACAAAGGTTTGGTAATAACTCAAAGTTATTACATTGAGAAAATTCTCAAGCGGTTTAATTTTATCGATTGTTCTCCTGTGAGTACTCCTATGGATCCAAGTGTGAAACTAATGCCAAATAATGGCGTTCCCATTTCACAATTAGAATACTCTAAGGCTATTGGTAGCTTGATGTATGCCATGACAAGTACCAGACCTGATATTGCTTTTGATGTGGGTAAGTTAGGCAGGTACACTAATAATCCTAGTGCTCAACATTGGCAAACAGTAAATAGAGTGTTTAACTATCTCAATGGAACCATGGATTATGGTTTGAGTTACTTGGGGAGTCCTTCGGTTTTAGAAGGTGATTCAGATGCAAGTTGGATAACCAACATGGAGGACCATTCCTCAACTTCTGGTTGGGTATTCTTGCTTGGGGGAGGTGCCATTTCTTAGGCTTCCAAAAAGAAATCTTGCATTACAAACTCGACAATGGAATCTGAGTTTGTTGCGTTAGCAGCTGCTGATAAAGAAGCAGAGTGGGTAAGGAATTTAGTCTATGAGATTCCTTTGTGGTCTAAAACGATAGCACCTATTTCTATCCTTTGTGATAGTACAACCGCTTTGGCTAAGGCATATAGCAAGGTTTATAATGGCAAGTCTATACACCTAGGTGTTAGACATACTATGATTAGAGAACTAATCATGAATGGTGTGATTTTGGTTGAGTTTGTGAAATCGCAACAAAATTTGGCAGATCACTTGACTAAAGGTTTGACAAGAGACTTAGTGCACAAGTTTGTAATCGGGATGGGATTAAAGTCCATTTAATTTTGTATTGATGAGACACCCAATTCCCTCCTAATATAATGTTAGGAGTTGAATTCAATGTGGAAAGCTCATACTTATAGATTGGAACACATGAAATATTCATCCCAGGTATGTGTTCGGTTCTGCATGTTAGCCAGGTTGAAGTTTAACTTCTTAATAATTCCTTTGATAAATGTATGTGCAAATACATGGAAAGGAGTTATCTACGTGATTGTGAAGTGTAGCCGCATTTCAAGAGGTTGTGGACTTGACCTTGATACGATCATGAGAGGATTGGGACACACGAATTTATAATAGTGTCAAGTTGTATTTTGCTAGAAATTCAATAAAATTGTATGTATTTTACTTTCTGGTATTCAAATGGGTTGATGGGTTCAATTCTTAGAACACCCTGATTCTCGAGTATTTGCAAGTGTATGATACTAAGTGTTAATCGTTTCGATAAATTCATTATGTACTAGTTTGGTTTGTTTTGATAAGGTTATGTTTATTCAAGGGTTACACTAAAATGGGGGAGGATTGTAGGTGATTTTAGTGTCACCATATCATTTTATGTAACTGGAACTAATATGTGAGCTAAGGGGCTTCATAATTTGTACTCTAATATATATATATATATATATATATATATATATATATATATATATATATATATATATATATGGGTTTGTGCAGAGTGCACACATGTATAAAATCGAATTAGAAGCCGGTTCGACGAGAAGTCTGGGGTCCGCGGGCAGTGCCCCCGGGATCAGGGTTTCCAAGGGTGCAGCGCCCCCGCGGGGTTTGGGGCAGCACCCCAAAACCTCTCCAAATTTACATATAGGAACATAGTGTGAAATTCAGATTCATGTGGGTGATTATGGTAAAACTAACGAAACTCCTTAGTTTTGGAAACCCTAAATCCTCATTAAAATATGGATTACCCTGACTTGCTTCCAAAGCAACTCATGACGGCCCAACCCTAATGAAACCCTAATCTCGTTTATTATATAAATGACTCTTCCTTTTGAGTAGATACACACGCAAATTAGCTCTTGTTTCTTCAAACACTCAAGAATCTTTCTAGCAATTTGGCTTACGATTTCTATGCCTAGAATCGTAAGTGTCATCTTGAATTATCCTAGGCTGAATTTCTTGTAACCTAGACATAGGGTAGAAATATCAATTCGGAAAGTGTTCACGCGATCGAAGTTGGTATCCAAATCCCCACTACAAACCCTACTATATCCTACATAATTGATGAAAGATGAAGGGAAAACGTATCTGAGTTCATATTCTTTATGTGAGACTGATGTACAAGATTCTTTTGAGGAATTGATATACTCTCCAAATGTGTTGAATGGTTTTAAGGCTTCTAGAATTCCCAACCATAAACTTATACTAAAAAAAGGTGTTCCTGTCATGTTACGTCGTAATATCGACCAAACCAAATGACTATGCAATGGTACTTGAATACAGATCGTAAGGCTTGGAAGACACGTCATTAAATCCTGAATAATATCCGGCAGGTTTTTCAATGAGACTATTTTTATACCTCACATGAAGTTAACCTCGTCTGATAAAAAATTTTCATTCCGTTTTCAGCGGAGGCAATTCCCCATAGTTGTTTGTTTCGCTATAACCATTAACAAAAGTTAAGAACATTCATTATCAGATGTTGGCTTATACTTGCGTAGACCCGTTTTCACTCATGGTCAGTTATATATAGCTGTTTCCTGTGTTACAAGTAAAAAAGATTTGAAGATACTCATACGTGACACAGAAGGTTGTTCAACTAATAAAACAAGAAATGTTGTCTACAAAGAGGTCCTTCAACGATTATAGAAATTTATCAATTTCAGTGTATCTTTTATATATTTCAATAATATCAATAGCCATAATTTTTTTTAATCATTATGCAATATCCATAGACATTTTTATTTTTTTTATGTTTCCCGTTTAACATGGGTTATAATCCAGTTTACGTCTTATATATCAAATTAGATTGTGGTAAATTCTATACCTCCAATGATGATGTGGGATAATCAGCAAGTAAACAAAATCAAGCACTACATTGTCAAAACAAAGACTTAGGCGCCTTAACCGCTTGGACGAATAGATACTTGTGACTAAATTGCATAACACTAAAATATAATACGTATAAAACATATATTTTTAAATACAAAGTAATAATTTGGTTCCGTTTTTTTCGGTTTGGTAAATATAAGAAACCTAAATCGTCGGTTTATGTTTTGGTTTTGGTTTTTCGATTTTCGGGTTATTTTCTCATCATTATAAAAATTGTCAATGCACCATATACACCATATGATATATATTTAATAAATAACAGTAAGAGTATATTAACTATATATGAATTGCTAATGTCGGTGTTGCACTTGACAAGTTTAGGATCTATGAATATATTATTTTGTCTTTTTTGGTATTTGGTTGTCAATTTCATTCGTTAGATTTTTTTTTCTCCTACTTTATTTTTACTTGGCAATTTAGGTCATTGTCACTTTTTTTCTTTTTCTTTTTTGGTCTACAATTTCACCCCCTCCATCCATTTTCTAAGATGTCAGTAAAATAGTAATTTTACACATAACATAAACAGTATCAATGATGGAGACCCGATTCAAAATGAACCAAAACCATAGGGATGAAATTGGAAATAAACACTTTTTTAGGGACCCAATCAGTAATTTTGGCATAAACATACGGACCAGTTTTATAGTTGCTCTAAAGTTTATGTTGTATTGTATTTTTTATTTTATTATTTTTTTTTTGTCGTTAAATACAAGATATTCGCTGCTGGAATCGTGTTTCTGTAATGAAAATTTTCCTCGCAACGGGAGATCGAGAGAATCCTGTTTCATCTTTATCCTTACCGATCCATTTCACTCGCTTCCGTTTCTTCATCCGTTATTATGGCTTCTCATTATAACGTTTTTTTAAGCTTTAGAGGCGAAGATACTCGCCATTCTTTTACGGATCATCTTTACGAGGCATTAATGCGAGCAGGAATGGTTACTTTTAGGGATAGCGAAGAAATTAGAAGAGGCGAAAAACTGCAGCTGGAGATCGAGAGAGCAATTAAAGAATCTGGTGCTTCAGTAATTGTATTGTCACAGAAGTATGCAACTTCAACTTGGTGCCTAGATGAGCTTGCGTTGATCCTCCAACAAAGGAGGGAGTGTAATCACTTCGTTCTACCTGTTTTTTATCACGTCGATCCTTGTGATGTGAGGAAACAAAGGGGAACTTTTGCTATTGAAGTCAAAGCCTCTTCAAGGTGGACAGATGACAACGTGAGCCTGTGGAAGAAAGCTCTTAAAGAGGTTGCTGATTTGGCAGGCATTGTTTTGTCTGGGTATGCATCTTTGTCTGTTCTTGTAATTTTAGATTCAAATTGTAGCAAAATACTGGTCTCGATGTCTGACTTAGAGAACTTTTTGTTGATAAATGTGTAAATACTTTCAATGAATCGGTAACAGATCTTTGTTTACAGAGCAGTTCGGAAAAGTAGATGAAAAAGTAACTATATTGATAAAAAAATGAATTAAATTGATGTAATTTGTAAATTACAAGTGTTTGATGGCTACATTTTTTTTTTCTACATTTCAAATGCCTAATGGGACAAAGTATAAAATACTGTGATAATTTATTCTTTTAATGCTTGTTGATACATCATATATATGATCTAGGAAATTAAGATAAAAAAGAGTTATATTGTGCTTTCGAGCATAATTGTGGAATTCCATTATTTTTTACGTTTGATTAAATTAGTATTTTATTATTGGTTCTTTTTCCTAGCTCCTTGCTAGGTACTGTTTTTTTTATTTTATTTTATTATTAAGATAAAAAAGACTGCATAGGGATCATTGGCTGTTTCAAAAAAAAAAAAAAAAAAAATTGGTATTTTAATGGATCTGCAAATATATTTGAAAAACTTCTATCCCGTTGCAAATGCTGTAGTAGGGTAATTTGGAAAGTTAATTATTCAATATTTCATTTAGTTATATCAAAGACTGTAAATGCCCTCCCATGAATTTGTTCATTTTTGTTCATGTTGTTCAAGGTCTGAAGCAAAGCTTGTGAAGGAAATTGTTGACATCATTTACAATAAACTGGATCGCAATGAAGTTAGTCTTCCACCCAATATAACAGGGATGGCCACGCGATACGAGGAGATCAGTTTGTGGTTAAATCAACCGGATGTTGAATTTTTAGCAATTTGCGGTATGGGGGGAAGTGGCAAGACAACACTTGCCAAATACATCTACAATTCAAATTGGAAAACTTATGAAAACGTGAGTTTTATTGAAGGCATTGGTGGCAAATGTGAAGAGCCCAATGGTATGCGTGTGCTACAAGAAGAACTTCTCAAAGGCATTTTAGGTGGCAAAAAGAGAAAAATACCTAGTGTTTCCAAAGGTACATGTAAGATTGAGGAGGCCTTACAGACACAAAGGTCGCTTATTGTTCTCGACGACATTGTTGAACGTGGTCACTTAGCTGCTTTACTTGGAACTGGGAAGATTAATCCACAAAGCAAGATTATAATAACAACAACCAGAGATAATATAGATGATTGGTTTAAGTTCACAGATTGGAGGTGTCAAGAATATAAAATGAAATTATTGAATGATGATGAATCGTTAGAGCTTTTAAGCTGTCATGCTTTTGGTTCCAAAGTTCCCATGGAAGGTTTCGAGGAGCTTGCAATACAAGCAGTAGAATATTGTGGAGGAAATCCTTTGGCCCTTGAAGTGTTGGCTTCTTCTCTATCCAATAACAATACCATCTTACATTGGAAAAGCCAATTAAATTTACTGGAAAAAGAAGTTGATTCTAGAATTCAAAATGTACTTATAATGAGCTACAAATCATTGTCTGGTGACTTAGAAAAGGAGTTGTTTCTGCATATTGCTTGTTTCTTTGTTGGAAAAGACAAGGATTATGTGGTAAAGATATTGCAGCATGATTACTGTGCATTCTCCGGGATCAAAAGCCTATCCAACAGATGCCTTCTTTCTGTTTCACCAAACAACAAACTGATGATGCATCGATTGCTACAAGAGATGGGGAAAAACATAGTTCGTCAAGAATCGAAATTCCCTGCAAAACGTAGTAGAGTCTGGCTGAGTAGCGATTCTTATAAGATATTGAGTAAACGAGAGGTGAGATGCTTTTTCTATGTATGTTTAAATTTAATTAAGCCTACAATTACTTTCACACACTTCTATTTCATTTAATTCTACAATTTATCCTTTTTTCCTTTTAGGGTTCAGAAACTATAGAAGGTTTAGCACTTGACATGCAAATGCTAGAGGAACAGAAGTTTGCTTACAAGGTAAATACAGAATCGCTAATTAAGAAATGCCGTGTGTGTATACATATGTATATTTAAACACGCATATTTATACATGGATCTGATAATAAGCTTACTATTCCTCTTCATGCTAAATCTGCAGTCATCAAACCTCAAGACAGATGCACTTCAAAAGATGGATAGACTGAAATTGCTCCAACTAAACTTTGTGCAGCTCACTGGGTCCTACGATAATCTTTCAGATGAGTTGAGATGGCTTTGCTGGCTTGGATCCGATTTAAGAACCATACCCTCTGACTTATTCATGGGAAACTTGGTGGCTATAGATATGAGCTACAGTAAATTGGAAGTATTTGAACCCCCCATGGTAGGGAGTCTGATTCTGATATCCTCTTATTTATTTATTTATTTATTTATTTATTGCATATCCGTTTAGCTTCTTGGTAATTCTGCTTTATGAAGACAAGGAGTGCTACATTAATTAATCTTATTACTTTTGCAACAGGTTCTTCCGTCACTGCAGATTCTGAATCTTACAGACTCGCACAACCTACGTGAAGTCCGCAACATGTCCATGATCCCTCATCTAGAGACTTTGATTCTTTGGAACTGTCACAGTCTGGCTCGTGTTTGTGAAACAATTGGAGGCCTGACAAGTCTTGCACTACTGAACATGACAGGATGTAGAAACCTGTGCAAGAGTGAGCAAACAGAAGCTTCTACCTCTGGTGGAGGAGTTGCAGAACAGCCTACCTTTTTCTTCCCACCTTCATTACACCGGTTATTCCTCAAGGATTGTGATCTTGAGTGTACTGATTCGTTTCCTCTGAGTTTTAGTGTTCAACTATCTTTGCAGTACATGAATTTAGGCAATAGTCTATTTGAGTTTCTGCCGTGTTATGACCATCTTAAAAATCTTCGGGTCCTTGACTTGAGTTTATGCTCAATGCTTAGACAGCTTCTTTGTCTCCCAAGTACACTTGCAGAATTGTATGTGTACTATTGTATGTCGCTGGAGGAAATAAGCTTCCAATCACATCGATTCACATTGCAAGAGTTTGGCTATGAAGGCTGTATTAGTTTATTAGAAATTGAAGGCTTTATCAAATTGGTGCCTGTAGCCAAACTTGAAGAAAACGATTTGGGACATATGAAGTGGCTAAAAGAATATCAAAATCATGAGGTGTGCCTGGTTGGTGATGATGAGCTCACCAAAGGCAGAAGTTCATGTGTCCAGGTAGGTTGTTTCTCTCTTAAACTCATGCAAGAGCACACCACATGTACATCAACATACCGCCTACAGATTATTATTTATGACTAATACTCTTGTACTTTTTCATGGCAAGATGTTGTATGAATTCAATATAATGAGCACATCTCTTCCAGACATGGAGGTTCCAAACATGAAACCTACTTATGTATCAGAGTTATCATATTTGTACTTTGATGTGCCTCCGCCTCCCAAGAATAGAAGGCTCAAAGGACTTGATGTAACTTTTAAATATAAAACAATATCAGGTGAGGATGATGATGGGTTATGGTTCTGTAAGATCAGTACGAGCAATGGTGTTGATTTGATGTACAACCCCAAAGTCTTTGGCAAACCTAAATCTGGTGAAGTTGGTATATGGTTAAGCTATTGGCCAATTGGAAATGAACTGGACACTGGAGATAAAGTCAACGTCTCCATCGCTGTGATCAGTGGATTGGAGGTGCATGAATGTGGTGTGAGCCTTGTTTATACTGATGATGAGGAAGCTGAGGAAACCTTGGAAAATAACATGGGATTGGTAGAATCTCTTGGAGGAGGTTTGTCTGGATTTCAACTAAGCACAGGAGCTTACTATCTTTGTCGCCGTGATTTGTTTTACTTAATGGAGGTCAGTAGACCGACTCCTGACTGGTTTAGTATTTTAGTTGGTGATACCATTGACTGTACAGGTATGTCCTTCCTGTCAAGCTATATCAAGCTAATTTTGCGCATTTATAGTAAGATTTATGACGCATATAGAGAAAGTTCATATTGTGACACATTGTTACAGAGGTACGAGGATGGAGAAAGACAGGTCGACCTACGCAGTTGAATCCATCGTTTACTGAGTTAAAGTTTGTTAGATGCATCATCCAAGGTCCTGAATCGGTAAATTTTTTCTTTATATATATATATATATATGTATTATATATATATATATATATATATATATATATATATATATATATTACAATCTCTCCTCTCAATGCTCTGTGATAATGAAACCCTCATGTTTGATATCTATATAAATACCGGTTATAGCATCCAAGTTTCTAACTAGAAGACTTACTTGCCATATAAATGACTTGCTTGATCCCTATGCAGTCCGGTTTGCTTGAACCCTAACCATCTTCTTAGAATGCTTTATTGACCAAGGAATGTTCCTTCCTACACCTCATCGTGTATGATCTGTTACACGACCTTTTTACATTGTAAAGCCATTTTATATGAATATGATCTGTTCCTTCGGTCTGGTACGCTGGAGTGCTTAAGCAGCAGATTCGAAATGAGTGGTCTACATTTATTCCCTCGTTTTCAATCTTTCTTTTCTTCATTGAACCCTCCACCATATATATATATATATATATATATATATATATATACATTCTTTTGAGAACCAAAAAAGGCAGTGTTTAAACGATATGTAGGCTCAAAAAACTATTTGACGATATTTTTTATTTTTTATTTCTTTTTTTATTACTCCTGATATATATATATATATATATATATATATATATATATATATATATATGAATCAGTTGTCATATGGATTGCAGACGCATTCTTATCTGCAGTTATATGGTTACGGACACATAGTTCAGAACTACGGATTTTGAGTTCGCAAGTTCTCACAAATCTTTAGGTTCTCACAAATGGAGGGTCTACAAATCGTGTACCATGCCTTTGTCGTTGCTATAAGATGAATTCGACCTTTATGACTTGGTCTTATCATAATAGTTGATTTTACGGCTCTCCACTCCACTGTTACAATAGTATATCTACAATTCAAATACAACTGATATACATCCGATATCACATAAGTTCACATAAGATACTTTTTAGTTTGATAGCAATGTGTCTTTGCTATTATCTTTTTCAGATATCACATAAGTTCACATAAATAAAAAGATTATCCAAACAATTGTAATCTAGTTTGACCTTTTGTACTTGATGCTAATTTTGTTATATGTAGTGTAATGATTTGGTTTTGCTAATTTGGCCCTCATGTTTATAAAAAAATAAATAGGAGGACATTTACAAGATTGCAGATATGTCAAAATCATATATTGTCGATAAAACATTGGAGTTTACATCAAATCTGCTTGGGGAGTCAATGATAACTTCCACATCTTCTAAATTTAGTGAACTATTAATAAAGGTAACCGAGTAAGAGAAAATTTACCATTTGCTAAACATTGGGTTCTCCCATGATTATATATATATATATATATATATATATATATATATATATATATATATATATATATATATAGGGGAGGGTTAATGCGAAAATGCAAATAATTTGCGAAACGCGAAAGCAAGAAAAAACTATGAGATTTTGCCACCTCAACCTTATATTTTGGACAATAATTCATCCAAACTTTGAACTACATGATGATAATCATCGATTACACATGAGAAATTATTTCATATTAGCAAAATATGAGTTTTGACATTTTTATTATGAAAACATAAATTTATAAGTGGTCAAGAACGTGAAAAAAAAATAGTTGATAAAATCGTCTTTAAATCTATATTATCATAACACAATCCAATATAAACTAATTATCATTAATTTATTGTTAATAAATTTAATTTTTATAGTACTTGTGTTTGATTTTTATAAGATAAAATCTGTTTTCGCGTTTCGCAGGATATTTATGTTTTCGCATGACCTACTTGTGTGTGTGGTGTGTGTGTGTGGTGTGTGTGTGTGTGTGTGTGTGTGTATATATATATATATATATATATATATATATATATATATATATATATATATATATATATATATATACACACATGGTTTTTCTAATTTGGCCCTCATGTTTATGAAAAATAAATAGAAGGACATTTACAAGATCGAAGATACGTCAAAATCATCTATTGTAGATAAAACATTGGAGTTTACATCAATTTTTCCCGTGGACTCAATCATGTCTTCCACATCGTCTAAATTTAGTGAACTACCAATAAGGGCATTGATATCTTCCACATCGTCTAAATCTAGTGAACTACCAATAAAGGTATGTGAGCAAGAGAATTTACCATTTGCTAAACAATGGGTTCTCCCATGATTATATATATATATATATATATATATATATATATATATATATATATATATATATATGTATATATGTGTGTGTGTGTGTGTGCGCGATATGAGGATGCGATCCTAGCCATTTATCTTGGAGATCAAAAAATTAAATAAAAAAAATTGTAAAATGAAAACTAAAAAGAAAAATCCGCAAATTTTTTTTAGATATTATTTTCATCATTTAATTTATTCAAAAAAAGAAAAAATAATTTAAAAAAATTAAACATTTTATTGTTTTTTTTCGGAATATAGGTAAAATATTTTAATACAATATTACACTATAAATATTCAAATCGAATTTTTAGAATGTTAGAATATTATAATAATTCACTATAATTGTTAGATATGCGAAAATATTCTAATATTAATATTGTTAGATTTGTTAAAATATTCTAATATTCTATTAGAATTGTTTGAATATTTATAGTTTAATATTGTAGTAGAATATTCTAGCATTTTAAAAATTCAATTTGAATATTAATGGTATACTATTTTATTAGAATATTTAACATATATTTCGAACAAAAAAGGGTAATTTTTCTATTAAATTTTTAATTTTTAAAATTTTTTAAATCCTTTTCTAGTCTAAATGAAGAAAATAATATATAAAATAAAATTTGAGAATTTTCATTTATTTTTCATTTTAAAAATATTTTTTTGATCTCCAAAATGAATGTCTAGAATTGCGTCTTATGTCACACAAAATATGATGGTCTCACATGAATCTAACTCTCTCTCTCTCTCTCTCTCTCTATCTCTATATATATATATATATATATATATATATATTATATATATATATATACATTAATAAAAGAGTAGTTTTAGTTGCCTCATGTCAATTCTATTATGTATGTGTACTTATTGTTTGCCATATATCATATTCTAAGAGTTCTTTTATGTAATCATATCCCATAAAATTAGCTAATATTTAATTTTGTATTTTAAAATTTCATATTATATTCAAAGATTTTCAAAAAGTATTTATGTCATAGTCAATAAATCGGGAAACTATTATTATCAAAATTAAATTTGAAATGATATCCATTTTTTATCCGGTGTATACATTTAGTCCTTTAAGGTTACTAAATTTATTTGGTGTATAGATTTAGTCTTTAAATAATATTTTATTTGCAAATATCATTTTGTATTTTATTAATGTCTCTAACTATTTTAATTGCTCTTTATTAAATTATTTTACTTTTTATGAACCGTAGAACCCACTGTTTATAACCTTATATATATATATATATATATATATATATATATATATATATATATATATATATATATATATATATAATGTGAGAAACAAAACTTTTGTTAGAAACATTAGAAATAAACCATTTGCATATTTTTTGACGAAACAAGGAAATAATCATTAGTAGGGATATCAACGGGACCAAACGGGTGCGGAAATAGCTCCCCCCCCCCCCCCCCCCCCCCCCCCCGCTCCTTAAATCAGATATTGATCTCGCCCTCGAATCCCCTGTTTACATTGCTCCCTTACAGCAACATTGAACTTATCAGATTCAGTAACATCTCTCATACATTATGCAACAACATCTTGGATTTTATTAATAAAGCATTGACAAAACAGTGAAATAGATTACACAACAAACCATAAATTACATAGAAATCAGTGAGAAACAGTAAGAAGCAGAGGGTAAATCATCAGAAATCGTGAGCCAACGCTTGACTATCGAGGGTAAATCAAGCAATCGGTAAATCAAACTCTTAATTGTATCAGAGTGGGATATAGAGGGTAGATTACCACTTACTAGGGGATGTGAAGTCATGGACTCATGGTCGAGTATACTATATATACGAAGTTGAACTCTCGAAGACACAATCGACTGTCGTGATTCGTGAAGAACAGTGAAAGGGTGTCGGCAGGCGGAAGGGCATCAACGGTCGGTGAGTCTATTGTTGACGACGCTGTTGACGGGAAAGGTAAAAGGCGTTGGGTCGCCGGTCGCATCTTGGATGGGAGTGGGTAGGGATGAAAGTGGGTCCAAACCCGGACCGGATGGACCCGGACCCGGAACCGGTTAACGAGATTTTTTAGAACCGGAAACCGGACCGGTATATAGGAACCGGTTTCGGTTCGGTTCCGGGTACGATACCGGGTAAAGTGGGTCTAGAACCGGAAAACACGGAAACATCAAAGTGGGTAGGTTGGAACCGGATAAAGTGGGTTTAGAACCGGAAAACCCGGAAAAACCGGAATTTTTTGGTAATTACTTACTACTTAGTGGGTTGAACTTTGAAAATTTTCAGTTTTGATATCTCGAATTCGGGAAGACTGTAAATAATTGAATATTAAAGCAAAAATGACAAAATATAGTCTAAACTCATATACAAACTGTAAACTACAAGTTGAAAAAACCACATGTCAATCCGACTTCAAACGAATTAGATATGCATGTTTTAAAACTTTCACCGAATACAAAAAAACTGGAAAACGAAAAACCTCCAGCTTTAATATCTCGACTTTGAGGGGCTGTAAGTCAATGAATATAAAACTAAAAATGTCAAATTTATAGTCTAAAATCATGTACAAACTCATGAGATATGCATCTTTTAAACGTTTTACAAAAACCGGTTCCGGCCCTAAAAGTGGTTCCGGTTCCTAACACCGGTTCCAGTTTTTAGACCCGGTTTACCCGGACCCAATGGACCCAAACCCGGATTACCCGGAACCCGGATAAAGCCAATTTTTAAACCCGGAACCGGAACCGGTTTTATATATTCCGGTTCTAACGGTTCCGGTTCCGGTCCGATTCCCGTTCCGGTCCGGGTTTCCGGTTCTAAATCTCATCCCTAGGAGTGGGAGAAGTCGGTCGTATCGTATCTCGTTCTCGTATGTGATTATGAAGATTGGAGAAGCCCTAAAATTATAGACTTTATTTCAGTATTTACCATATGTATTTTACATTAAATATATATTTTTTATATAAATAAACAAACGAGGACCCCGCGGGAGTAACGGACTGAAATACTCACTCCCAACCCCAATCCAGAAAAATAAACGTGTTTAATCTTGCCCCCGCTACCGAATTTTTAAAAAATTAGTTTTGTACGTTATCGGGGTCCCACGAGGTTTTTTTTACATTCCTAACCATTAGATATCTAACACAAAAATAAAAATAGCATATGTTAGAAAAAATTGGCCGGAAAAACGTCTTTGATAATTCATTTTTTGGTAACTTACTGATTCATTATAGGCTTTGGATCCCGTGAGAAACAAAACATCAATACATTAATATTTCATTATCAAACACTATTATATTGATATATAAATCTTCCAAAGATTGAGTTTATACATTTTTATATTTATATTTATAAATGAATATGTCAAGACTAATTTCTAACATTTATACATAATTATATTCAATATTGATTAAACCACTTCAATGAAACAAATTACAAAATTCATCACTGTGTCAACCATTTTCCTGAATCAGTCGCAACCTCATTCTTCTATTTGAATCAAATGGCTCGCGAGCTTGTGTAGTGAGTAGTAGTGATACCTAAAAAAATTCCAACATTCCTTTTTCTTTGATCAATATCTACAAAATGACAATACTATGTAAATACTATAAAATGATTAAAAAATATATTAAAATGAATGATTGGTAGCAAAATCATATGGTGTTGTAATCATAAATAATTATAACCAGTCATCTAATCGTTTATGTTGCAAATAGTTATAATCATAACTGATTATTATCGGTGTCTTCTACTCATATGGACAACAATACTTATAATCATAAATGATTATAACGAACATAATCAAACATTTTTTTATTAAACAATTATCACATGTAAAACCACCTTACAAAGACGAAAATACCCTTTGAATTTTGAAAGAGGAGGTTACCCTTGATCTCGGTTTTCCACACGGTGTTGGTGACTCATCATCTCTAAGATGCGCAAAGAACATCACATGAGCATCGCCACACCCTTCAAGTTTCTCCAGGAACTCAATTTTGTAAGGATAATTAGCCGAAATATGCTTCCCTTTCCAAATGGCGACGTATTCTTTGATTTTACCTTCATTCCCATTCAATTCTACTTCTTGTACTTTTGGTATATTAAAAACATTCAACGACACCTTTACCCTAACCCTAGTGTCACACCCCCAAACTGGAACGATAGAAACGTTCGGGGGCGGAGGACGTCATGTAAGTATCACAACACATACATTATAGTAATCAAAGTACAAACAACCATTGCATTAATAAGTATAAGTTTTACATAAGTTTTTAAACATTACATATTTAAACATCAAAGTAGATACGGTAGAAGACAAAAGACGCAGCACGGTACTAAGATGTATTCTCAAAAGCCCCTGGAGTGTACCTGTCTACTGGATTCCTGAGAATACAAGTTATTTTGAAAGAGAGGATCAACATTTAAGATGGTGAGTTCATAAGTATTTTAGTTATATAAAGTAAACTCCAAGATCGTGGAAAAGTTCGCAGGTTCCTACAGAAAATCCTATATTTTCTACTGTATATGAATGATAACCACAATAGTTCCTACTACAATCACTTAGTTTATACTCCCTCCGTCCCAAAATGATAGTCCATTTTTGACTTTTGAAGTCTTTTTTCTTCAACTTTGACCTTAAATATTTTTATTTGTGTTATATATTACTTGATAAAACTTATAAAAACGAAAAAATATTTAAAATACAATCTATTCATATATTTTTCATCAAGTATTATCTATCAAAAACAAAAATATTTAAGGTCAAAGTTGAAGAAAAAAGACTTCAAAAGTCAAAAGTGGACTATCAATTTGGGACGGAGGTAGTACTAGTTATATATGACCTAATATCGAACGGACAGTTAAATGTGTGTATCTGCCCTAAGTCCACAACAAAACAAGGAACAGGAAGTAAGGCGGAAGTCACATATT